TTAAGAAGTTAATGACATTTCAGTCCCAATATCTTACCCGCAGAACATCAAAGTAAGCACAATGAGACAGCATGCTTCTTCCCACATGCTGACAGGACTAGGAAGCACAGACCTACACTCATATAATAGTGCTTCATCTCTGAGCTACAGCACACTTTGACAATGTAAATATTCATAGAACATATCGATGTATGCATACACACAATGACTTTTCCTGTTTTAAAAGATGTTTTTCGTTTGTTTTATCATGTCTTGTTATTGCACAGCCACATAAACTCTTTAATCTTGAAAATGTAGGCGCTTCTTGGCAAGTGGAAAACTGTATATGAGTTGATTGGTCCTTCAAAGCTATTTAAACCAGTAATGCTAACTGGACTGGTTATAATGTAGGGCGTAGAGCAGGATAAATGATTTAGAAGCATAAAAACAATTGCTCACAAGGTCTGCAAACAGGTCAGGCAGAGGATCACTTTTTGGCACAAGCTTTAAACCGGAACAGTAATACTTCTGGCGTGTGCGTCTGACTTTCAGAATAATAGCACACTATTGTTATTATTTTTTAATGGAATTTAAGATTTTTGGGGGGGAAATATTTTTAAAGCTAAATGTGCCAAGTAGGCTTCATTCAATGCAATTCATGTTGTTATTTTGCACGACAATAAATTTGAATTAGGCCAATTTAGCTTCAGATGCTGCTTTAAATCTGAAGGCGGTGTGCCGGAAGTCTGACTGTTGTTACTTCTGTCAATTGACAGACGTTTGTCAGCTGACCAGAAATGCAGTCTGCTGTGAAATGGACTTTTGAGTCGCTTCAACACTTGAAGACAAGACAGAGGCAACAGCGAGGGAGTCTCCGGCAGCCAGGTACATTTGTTTTATATAATATGTCCAACAGGAGGTCCGGTCGAGAAGGTTCAGCTGCGTTTGAAGACGTTTGTCAAGACTGAGTTACCCATTAACGGGCTTCTACTGTTTGTTTACAGCGGCGTCCACGCTTAATATATAAAATATGATATACATTTACCTAAAGACCTTAATAATGGAGACAAGTACAGAATAATAGACACGAAATAAGTGATATATTTTTGCTATGAGTAGTGAAAACAGTAAACAGCTGCTAGCTACATACTTTAGTGACGGAAACCACTCGTGTTGTCTGGAGTTTCACTTGGTTTAGTTGTGTTTTTTTTTTCTTGGCTAAGCATCATGTGAACACTAGTTCCTCATTCACACATCATGTTTTAGGGTGCTAAGTCAGCTTTGTGGTGTTCTGTCAGTCTTCCTTTAGCCTCCTTAAATAGTATAGTACTAACCTCTTGCTATTCTAGTGGTGAAAACCTGTTCTTTCTCTTCCTGATGGCAGGATTCATGTATTGTAGTTTACAAAACAGAGTCCTAAAACATGATCGAGTATTTACATAATGTCTAATATGCATGAGGAAATCTATAAACACATAAACTGGAAATAATTAGAAGGTTGGAAATCACAGAATATGAGGAGATTCGTATGAACTGTACAAGACAGCTTCTGATAAGATTCTTTGTCTTGCTCAAAAAACATTAAGCAAGGCCACAATATTCAGGACACAAGATTGGATTAACAGACTCTGTGAGGTTTTGATGTATCTTCTGACCATGAGGAGAGAATCAGGCGATTATGATACTTAGGTGGGCCTGTGATGCATGTTTGGCTGGGTAAGGAATTTTATTAAATTAATGGATTCTGTGACCATTTTTAGTTGCCCGGTTAAACCTGGAAGTGGATTGAAAATCACTGCCTCTGCTCAGTTTCCTCTTCTCAGGTGTGTAGAATAACTTAGAATCCTTCAGTGAATGTGGTAGTCAGAAAACTCTCTGCTACAGGAGTCGTGTGACAAAATTGCAGTGATTGCTAAAAGGCCAAACAATCACATGTCTTAAAACAAGAGGCGTGAACAAATGCTGTGTTGTTCTGCGTAATCGAGCATTTAACTGTGTTTGTGAATTGCCAAGCGATGACTCAGGGACTGATTCCTGTTTGTAGGAGAGCACTGAGTTGAAATCCTGACACTGCTGCCAAACAGAAATGATGCCAGGGCCCCCTTTATTGTTGATCATGGAGCAGTGGCAATGACTAATGCTCTCCTGTGACATTCCACATCTAAATCATAGTGGGAGGCCCTTTTTTTTTGTGCGTGTTTTATACTAAGCATCATCTGAGAATGTGTACCGCTTCTCCCTTCAAGTCTCTTTTAAATGTTTGTGTACTTATTACAAAGGTAGAAATGTGGAAAATACCTGTTGATCCCCAGTATTGAAAGATTGACTTTAAATGTGATCTTTCCCCCTGCAGCTTCACTGAGTCTAGACCATTGGACTGCTCTCTACTGGCTGCAGCACGGTGACATCTCCAGAATATGGATTCTCAACAAATACAGACAGTTTTTTTCCTTTGTGGACAAGCACAATTAGAAGTAAGTCTCATCCAAGTCCCACCTCATGCAAAACATGAACAAGTCTCAGTGATTTTTTTTAACTCGTATTTTTCTTCTTCTCCTTCACAGCTTTCTGCTTAACACGTTCTGCCTCAGTGTTCTCTACTGCCTCAGCTTTATCCTTTTTCTCTCATCTTTGCTTTGTGAGCATCCTGGACCCTGTCTGTGAAGATGGACAGCACAGAACCCGTGCAGCCCAGTCTCAACTCATCCTATCTTCCAGCTGCACTTGGCAACCACATCATATCTGATGATGATGAGGAGAGAGAGGACCTCAGTCCCTCTGCGTCCCTTCTGCCCAAAAATTCCCCAGCTCCTCTGGCGGTGCGCTACAGTCCAGAAGACTCATACTGTTTGGTGTACATCATCTTTTTTTTGATGGGCATCGGTTCCTTGCTCCCCTGGAACTTCTTCATAACAGCCAAACACTACTGGCACTTCAAACTCAGCAACAACTCTGACCACAGCAGCGGTGAGGAGCAAAGTTCCGACCTCAGCGTGAGTGCTACTAAATACAGCTGCAGCATGTTTGTTATGTATGTGTGTGCGCACAGGAAGATGCACATTTGTGCCAGTCTGCGTGCTTCTCACATGGAACTGTGACGATCCTGTGACAGATGCTAGGACTGAGTGTCCTTTCACATCTCACAGGACTCCATTACAGCACGGTAATGCAATTAGAAACACCTCAAGCCTTGTTGAGGGACACTGAGATGAAGGGGGCAGAGAGCAGCAGAGTTTCGGTGGTCAAGTAGATTTGCTTGCAGCATATAGGGAATTTTTCGTTTGTTTCAAGAACCAAAATGGACAAGAGTGTCAAAGAGGCAGGCACTCGTGTAATCTGTATAGTCAACTGAAAGAACCACACAATCAGAATGACTAAAAGATTTTTTTTTAAAAAACAGCAACAAAACTAGCACTATAGTACATATAATTAGTTCTCCTATGTGTATATACTCGAGTTTTTCTGGGTTGATACTGACTAATAATCAAGAAGATAGATAACCAATATTTTGAATTGATCAGTATTTGATGTAAAAATGAAAATCCTTGTGCCAAAATTTAGAATAGAACAACCTCCAACACAAATTTTGTTGAAATTCCTTTGTTTATTGATGTTTTTCTTGTGTTTAATTAAAATAAACTTTTCAACATTTATCGCTCAGCAATGAAAGGCCATGGCATGTGGCATGTTAACCACCCAGAGAGTGGCGTGGTCAGAATACCACAGAGTGACTACAGATAAAATAGAGCACTTTCAAATCATTTATCTTATCTGGACTCGACTAAAAACATAACAACACTGATAACTGGGCAAAAACACTGAGTACTGGATCCAATTATCAACTAGGCCAATGAGCCTTCGACCTGCAGGATGTAGTCACACATTCATGGCGGCATGCAGCATGTTGTGATAGCTGAGAAACCAGCAAATACTGTCTATCTGCAAGAGTCCAGTCAAAATATTTATTTGCAAGAATAGAACAAGACAAACAGCTATTTAATCTGTGAAATTGTCTGTGTGAATTCTATTAATTTCTGCTTTTCTGAGATTATTACTTGATCTGATTAGTCTGAGAAATCATAGAAAAGAAAAACAAGTAAATCATTTAGCTGATTTTTATACGTCTCCCCTCCCCTTTCACTTCCTCTTATTTTGTCTGAGACACTATGTGAGCATATCACTGTATGCTCATTTATTCTAAATAATAATGTTTTGTCTCTTCTGTATCTGTTCACAGAACTACTTTGAAAGTTATCTGGCCATCGCCTCCACGGTGCCCTCTGTGCTGTGTCTGATACTCAACTATGTCTTAGTTAACAGGTTGATTTTGCACACACACACACACACACACACACACACACACACACACACACACACAGAACTGTATTGTTTTGTCCCTGGATGTTTGGATGTTACAACACTGCATTTGTCCTATCTGGGCCGTTCAAGGCCTAAGTTGCAGTAATCTAATTTTCTTCTGGTACCTTGAAGACTGTGTTTCTCTTTGCTCTCTTAGGACTTTGTTCAGTTATATTTAGAACTGGTCTGGATAATTAAAAGCTTAGTGTCTCACATTTGCATGGACACGGTCAGGATTGCTTGCATGTATGTATATGTTTGTGACCAAACAATTCCTCACTTGTTCCAACAATATAACACAACTGCTTTACATTTGGTGCTGATTAACTGATCTTTGATGAACCCCAGCCTAATGCCAATATACGTGTGTGTTTGCGGTGTTCTAGGTTGTCTGCGAACTTGCGAATTCTGTCATCTCTTTTTGTGATCCTGCTGGTGTTTGTCCTGACCACGGTGCTGGTGAAGGTGGACGTGTCAGACTGCAGGATGGGGTTCTTTGCTTCTACACTAGCCAGTGTGGCTGTCGTCAGTGGAGCCTCCAACATCTTCTCTGGGAGTATGTTTGGGATCAGTGGACATTTTCCCATGAGGATCTCTCAGGCTCTCATATCAGGTAGCGTCCTCATTAAGATCAGGATCACTTTTTGACACTGATGTCTTTGTTGCATTTATACATTACCAGTGTACAAACACTGTAGAGCATCCTAATTTAAGACTTTATTTATGCAACAACTTTATATTGTGACTGTTCTTTGTCTTGCCACCACTGACTGTACACAGTGTGTGTGACATTTAAAAGTCAAAATAATTTGTGTCTCTGTGTGTGGGCATGTTATATAAATGAAAAGAGAAGACTGAATACAGTATCGACATGTCATAATAACACAATAGTTTCTCCTTATAGAAGAGGTGGTCCCATTTTTAGACCTTATTTTGGACCACCTTGTTGCATATATTTGCATACTAATGAAAACACTGATGTTACTAACAACATTTTAGATGACTAATGCCTTAGTTCACTGCATTTCCTTATGCACGACCAGTATAGTGACATACACTACAATTTCAATTTAATCAGTGTGTTTAATTTTTCGCCGTTTTAACATGCTGGTGCACACAGGAAAAAAAAAACAAGAACAGGAATGAGCAGAAAAAAATGAGTGAATTTATTGGGCATCTTGATCAGCGGTCGCCACATTTCTGGGTCATGTCTGGTGGACCTTTGTTGAATATCTCTCTCTCATTACCTTTCAGCTCTCTTCATTGATAGTTATTTTTAATGTAAAGAGATGATTGTGCTTGGATATTTGACAGCTCAAGTGCCACTTGTTTCCTGAAGTGAAAAACTAAAGTCCCGTTTTTGCCTCAGGTCAAGCAATGGGAGGTACGCTGAGTGCAGTCGCGTCAATAGTGGACCTCGCTGCAGCTAACAATGTGACAGACAGTGCTCTGGCCTATTTCCTGACAGCTGACATCTTCATTCTGCTCTGCATCATCTCATATTTACTGTTACCAAAGCTGGCATATTCAAGGTCAGTAGTAGCCAAAGATTTGTGGTTCTTTTGTGGGTGCATATGCTCCTTACCAAACCTGCATTTCAAGTTAAAAATGAAGTTGATTATAATTCTTTCCCTTTGAACCTACATAGTGTAGAGTACAGATAGCATAACAGTGTGTGTTGTGTCACAATGTCATTCTTCATACTGTCACTAGATGGCACCAAATGTTTAATGTTTAAATCACACATAGGGAGTGTAAATTCCTGCAGAACAATTGTGTTAAGTGTTCTAAACTTGCCTGTGCCAGTTATTTTGTACGTACAGTTTAACTTTAGAGCTACTGTATAATTAAGGTCAACAATGCCCTTAATAAAGTAAATCATTATTTAATGCATTAAATACAACTGGAATCGTTACATTTAAAAACCATTTTAAATGTAACCTGCCTTTGAAGGCACCATTATGACAGTCTATTAATACCAGTTTAGGGAACAGATTCAACACATCTTCTCCTCTCTCTAGACACTACATGCTGGGCGCAACGCACACCAGCCCAGGGGTGATGAGTGAGGGTGGAGATGCTGCCAGCGCAGTCCCGCCTCTGCAGCCTATCCTTCAGAAGACATGGGTGCTCGGACTGAGTGTCTTCTATGTCTTTTTTATCTCCATCATGGTGTTCCCAGCAGTTTCCTCAGGGATCCAGTCTGTCCACAAAGACAGTGGCAATCCCTGGACAACCACTTACTTTGTGCCCCTAACCAGTTTCTTCCTGTACAACGCAGCAGACCTTTGTGGCAGGCTAGCCACAGCCTGGCTGCAGGTCCCTGGTCCCACCAGTCGAGTGCTGCCTGCACTGGTGCTGTGTCGCTCCGTCATAGTGCCACTTCTCGTGTTCTGTAACTACCAGCCAAGGGAACACCTCCAAACAGTGCTGTTCGCCGATGATGTCTACCCTGTGGTGTTTAACTGCCTGCTCGGTCTCTCTAATGGCTACCTCGGCACACTGCCAATGATCTATGGCCCAAAGGTGGTACCACGGGAGCTGGCAGAGGCCACAGGAGTGGTGATGTCTTTCTTTCTCACTCTGGGACTCGCTGCTGGATCTGCATTCTCTGTACTTCTCGTACACTCTATCTGATCAGGATTTTAACAATAACCAAGTCATGTATATTGGTATACTTCAGCAAGACACTAAAGTCAGTGTACCCCGTGCTGATGGGTACCAGAACTTGAAAACACTGTGATTGCTATGAGGGAAAGTGCCAAAGAAGCTTCTCATTTTTACTTGACGAACATGCCTTAACTCTTTAATACCTCACATTAATATGTTGTATTTGCATTGATGTGATGAAGCTACAGTTGCAATCAGTGCAGTCCACGAGGTACTCTTGTTTAAACAAAAGCTTTATTTTAATTCCGATTTATGTAGAAACAAATATAGTGTTTTAGTAATGTCTTTTAATTTGGCCAAGAAGTTTAGTCAGAACAGTTTTGGTGCTCATTGGTATTAATTCTTTAAGTCTGTAGAACTCTACTGAAGGGATGGAGCATCATTCTCTCAAAGTTGTTTTAATTATGGTGCTGTCTGACACCTCGGTCCAAAATCCCTCATAGGTTCTACACTGGGCTGAGATCTGGTGACTGTGAAGGCCATAGCATCTTAACATCTTCATCAAACCAGTCAGTGACCCCTCATGCACTATGGAAAAGAGGAACTGTCATCTGAGAGACCATTCTTATCTGGATAGAAGTGTTTTATAAGATAAATGTGACCATTCAAGGCCATTTTATATAGATTAACAGTGACTCTAAAGTAGACCCAAACCATGCCCAAAAATGCCCTCCACAGCATAGCAGAGCCACTGGATATTTTACTGTTTGTAAAAGTGTGATTCATCTACAGTTTACTTAAGTGTGTATGGATGCATTTCCATAGGTATATGTTACATATAGCACATGTGCTCTCTAGTCATTAAACCATCAAAGTACAGCAACAAGTAGCCTGTAGACAAAACTCAAAATACATTTTATTGTTTTATTACGAGTTGGTGTAGTTGTCATTGGGCTAAATGTGGACAAAAATTTAAATGTTTTTAAAAGAAATACAGCATATGTGGTCTGATTATTACGAGTTATTTGTGATATTGTGTTATGGGACTTTATGTGTTAACACTCTGATCTCCAGCATCTCTTCTTCTTCTGAACTATATAAAGGTTTGGGCTCGGTAATATATTTCTTCTTCAAGCATTTTTTGGTAGAACAACTTGTGTGCTCAGGGTTGTTGTCGTGTTATATCACTGACAGATGTCCTTATTCTTCAGAATTTGTTGGTAGAATTTATAATTCATTGTTCCATCAATGGTGGCAAGCTGTGCTGGCCAGGATGCAGTAAATTGGGCCCAAACCATAATACTACCACCACTGTTTCACAGATGGGATAAAGCTCTTCCATTGGAATTTTGCATTTTCCTTTCTCGAAACATAATGCTCCTAATTTAAACCAAAATTTTTGGTGTCATCTGTCCAAAAACATGTTCTAATACCTTTCTGGCTTGTCTTCTTCTTTGCAAACCACAGATGGGTAGTACTGTTATTCATTGAGAGCAGTGGCTTTCTCTTTGCAATACTATCATACAGGCTATTGTTGGTATAACCTGGGAGCAGAGCAAGTATTCTGAGGAAATTAACCTGCACTGACTCTACTGTGCTAAACTACTACAATTATACGTAATCTGAGGTCAAGTTTTCATATGTAAAACTAATGTGTTTGAAAATTGTCTACAGCCGGTAAAAGTAGTCCAACATAAAAATCTGGGCCAAAATATCAAATCAGCTACTGCTGATGCCTCTGGTTGTCGCATCCCTGAACTCTCAACTCTTTAATTTTACACTAATGTGGGAGCACATCAAACATGCACTGTCGATCATAATTTCTGACCCTGTTTACTTATATCTTCCCTGTAGATTTAAATGCAGATCTCACTTTAATCACTGTTGTAATTGAAACATGAGCCAGTTTGGCAGTCTTTGTGGCTGAAGCTCCTGCCATCTTGTGCCCCAGCAATGAACCCTCTCTCAAAGTCACACATACAAAATCAGATCAAACTGGTCCTGCTCAGCATATTTATACATACAATGATTGGATGCTAATAGGTTATTTGTTCCATGCAGAGCTGTTGTGTGGAAGCACCTGCAATTGTTGTGCTTCTCTATTCATTTATTCAGGTTGATCCGTAATTTGTCACCTGTCAAGACATTGTTTTATATTGCAAAACAAATGTTCCTCACAAGCCTTTTTTGATTAGAGGCATGACAGTTTGGGGTATATAATATATTGTGTTGCAGAATGTAAAATTTTAGTTCAACTCTAATAAAATAGACATGATGGAAACAGGTGGAAACATAGGTTATTGTTAAACAGTATTGATAAACTGCATGTGAAAATATAGAAGAGTCTGGAATCTACAGGCTGTTGTCTGGAAAGCAAATATTTTTTTCAAGATCTTAAAGTAGCTTTCTTTTGAGGCTTCACTTCCTAAACTACATATAATATACATTACTGCAAGCCACTTTAAAATGTTCAATTTTGCATCAATTATTCTCCGCCTTTTAATTTTAATACAGTGAAACCAATTGAACCAAATGCCTCTTTTATAGATATGACTTACTGCTGCCTGTGATAGAAATACATACAAACAAACCAAGAACTGGAGTGAATTGGGATCACTTTAATTGTTAAAAAGTTTACAGATCAAATGACAGTTGGCCCAGGGTTTGAAGCAGACATTTGCATTCGTGAAGCTTAGTGTGTTACCCACACACCAATTTACAAACAGTAGGAAGAGTGCAAACAATGGGAGGTACAGTCCGACTCATTACCTCCATATCAGCTCATAAAAACAACATCAACGACTTGTCTACAAAATAGAAATCTGTTCAAGGATCAGACATACTGCTAAAAGTAATGCCAGTCTTTATTACACTGAATCGGCAATCAGCTCTTTCACAAAGAAGAAAATGTAGCTGGGGAGGAGGTTGAAGAATCATTAGAACAGCAGAAATCTAACGCTTTGTCAACATTATCCAAAGTGTGAAACTAAAATTTGCAAAGCCCAAAAACGCAGCTTTGTGACTTCTGCTCTATCAAGCAGTAACAGGCTTAATTGCAGGCCACTATACATGTAATCATTCCTCCCCTGCCCAACACAAACACACACACTTCCCACCCCACCCCCCAGGGCAAAAAAAAAAAACAAACAAAAACAAATGTCCAGTCCCTTTCCACCTTGACATCATTCAAAATATCAAAGCTAATTGAAGCATAAATTGCAGTTGTTTATGTCTGTTAAAAAGAAAAAACAGGGACAAAAAATGGGAAGCAGCACTACAGTAATTTTCTTTTCATTCCCTACAGATCAGTTTGTGCTGGTCTTCTTCTATACCCACACATGGCGTTTGCAGTGAGCCACAGCCTAAAAAAAACAAGAAATAAGTGGTTAGATAGAGTTCTAGAAGCAAAGCAAAATAAAAAGAGCTTTTACAATCATTGTTTGAGCTTCAGTCAGTGTGAGACCGCATCCACACTAAAACATTTTCACTTTAAAACACCTGTCTGGACAAGTATTTCATCTTCATTTCAGAAATAATCTGTGTGCATAGCAACGCCTGAAAAGAAATATCACAACGTCTCACGTACACTGGGCATGTAGGTACCAGTATAAATGAAAAGCAGGGGGATGGTTGGGGAACCATCATGTGGTTGGAGCCTGAAGGATCAGGAAACTAACATAGTGACAGTAAGGCCCAAATAGAAGCAAATGTGGGCATCATCATTTCCATAAGTCTCAGTTTTTGCCTGTCCGGACTAAAACACGACTCCAGAGATTTGCACCAGTCATAAATGCAGAAGTTTAAAATGAAATTGTATTCGTGTGGATGTGGCCTTTGTCACTAATTTTTTTTAATGAGTCACTGAAGAGTGTTAAAGCAAACTCCTATTACTAAAACCTGCTGAAGAATTTTACTCTGTTAACAAATATCTAACACATCTCGGCATATCAGTACATGACTTAGATACTCACATTGCACCGAGTTGCCGTCTCCATGTTCTTGCACCAGAATGCAGGTCCCCAGCTGCACTGTTCTGTTCCCAGCAGCCTGCGCACGCTTTCGGGGCAGGCTCCCACTTTCTGTAACACACAAAGAAATCCAACTCAGATTCTAAACTGGGCCAAAGATCTTTTTTACCGTCCATTGCTGATAGTTTATACATTTTGCCATTATCTGTAAAATTTGCAAAAATCAGGAATGTTTTGTACTCTTGAAAAAAACTGCCTGGATCAGTGAATAATCTTGGTCTTTGACACATCCGGAAAGTCAAACATCCTAACCACAAAGCTCACTTATCTTTTATTACTCAATATTTGGTAATAATTTACTCCTTACCATGCACACAAAGTCTGGGTCGAGCATCTGGAGCAGCAGCTGGACAAGCATCGGCTCATACTGTTCAACCAACTGGTCACACTGTTGACACAAACACACGGAGGGTCATGCAAAACTGTCACATGAAGACAAACAAAGTTACACAAAGTAAGAAAATGCAGCTACTCACCTCAGTCTGGTAAGAGGAAGGCAGGAAGCTGCACACTTTCATCACAGCATCTTCAATCTCAGCCGCTGTAGCATTCTTCTCCAGGATGCCATCGACGTAATTAACTGCCATTTTACACACCTCACAGTAGCCACCAGCCTTGAAGCGAGGCTGGTCCAGTGCAGCTGTAAAGAATTGTCAGTGTTATTGCCCATATGTAAAAAGACACTGTACCCTTGCATTTTGAATCACAGAAAAACTCTAATCACAGTTTAAATGTGGCATGTTAGGTTGCAGTGTGGCATGACAGTTCCTCACACAGGACAATATTTGTTACAGAAAAGTAAACTAAAATCGCCAAACACATCTGTGCAATGTGGACTGAACGCCTCTACACTTATGTGTTGTGATTTTACTTCTGCGTGACAGGGTAGTCCAAAGTGTACAGAGCAGTGTAGGTAGAACTTACCCACAAATGTGCGGCTGGCATCATTGCACAGTGCCAGCACCGTGCAGATAGTCTTGGGGTCAGCCTGCTGCACCAGCAGCTCAATGATGGCCTGGCCGTACGTCTCAATCAGGTCCTTGCACTGGGCAGTCAGAGTGGAGGGCAGAAGTGTGCACACCTTCTCCACCGCATGAATAACCTCCTCCTGACAAGAGACAGACAGGTCAGCTTGACACCAGAACTAACTGCACCAGCACTGTGTTTGTGACTGTTTTATGGCTGAATTTTATAGTCATGCAGGTTTAGTGGAACACATCCTACCTCTGTCGTTTCATCCTGCAGCATACTCTCCAACTGCTTCATCACAAACTCACAGATGGCACATGTCGGGGAGTCACGGACGCGAACCATGGACTGGAAAACAATAAGATACAGTCTTGTGAGCATGTAAAATACTTTTCTATGTAATTGATTTTTATCCTTCATCAATGACTCAATTCGATCAATAAATCCATGACTTACCTTAGACTTGTCACTAGCAGAGTCCACCTTGGTGGCAGGGAAAAGCTTGGCAGCAGGGAAAACTTTGGCAGCAGGCACAGTCTTGGCAGCTTCAAGCTTCAGCATGGGAATGGACTTCTTCATAGCCGCACAAAAGCCAGCATGGGCGCACAAATCCTTGGGTTGCTGAAGAAACAAGTGGATATTTAAGATACAAACCCAAAGGTTTAAAAAAAAAAATAATTTGACACATTGCATGCTGTTAGCATAAAATGTGTGTAATCTGCATACCATTCCATCACATTACCACCCATGCAATATGCAATAGTTTGTGTTCTACCCAAAAAAACAAACAAAAAAAACATCTAATGAAGCTTTTCACCAAACCAAACACGCAGCAACATACACCCATAGTGACCATAATGTAGACTCCTGTACCACTGACAGGAGGAATCCAACAAGTAAACCACAGTGTTAAAGAAACAACAGCTAGTTGTGCCACTAAAAAACAGTCTCCCCTAAGTTGACTTGTGTAAATTAAGGAAGAAGTTGTTGCGGTTTAAACAACATTGTTAGGTCCTTGACCTGACTATACCATGACATTTCTTATGATTCAGCAGTATATAAATAAAATTCAATTGACTCAAGCACATCTCACAAGATCCAAGCATTCTATAAGTGACAGCATGCTCATGTGATGTGAAGCAACAAGAGAAAATCCGAATGTGGCCATTTTCTGCAGTGTTGTAACAGGTTAACTGTCAAGTCACTAGCCAAACAAGCGGTGTTCAGGTAAAACAGTCTCGCTCATAATAAGGTCACCATTCACATGCGTCTTTACAGTGTCAGTGTGTTGCGCTACAAGTGGACAGCACATAAAGCGAGATCTAAGGGTTAGAAGGCTACAGGCTGAACACAGAGTGACCTACCTGTTCCTGAGGAGCAGCATACAAAACCCAGAGCAGGAAAAAACAGAGCAGAATGACATGGATGGAGAGGAGAAAA